CGATTTGCCTCACCTGCAGGTTCACCACATGGTCGAGGGTCCCTGGAAACACCCACAGAGGCAGCTCCACACGGAAGATGCCCAGCCGCAAGGGAGTCTGGGGCCGGCCGGCTGGTGCGGGGAAACGGGCCGTGAAGAAGACTGTCATGTGACTCCTACCAAAGTTGGGGGGTGGGGGGCTCTGAGCTGTCTCGGACACAATCCCACACCAAGGGCGACTCCCCGCCCTGCTGCCCATACCGACCGCAGACCCAGCCCACCAACACCCCGTGCCTGGTGTTGGATGCAGTGGGGTGGGCGGGTGGGTGAGGGCCAACAGGTGGACGTATCCTCTGTCCCCAGCCGCGAGGCCACGGTCCGCACAGCACAGACAGGGAGTGTGCTTCCCAGCCTTAATCCGGGAGGGGGGTCCCAGCCACTGTCAAAAGGCCGTCCTGAGTGTCCACAGACCGACTCTTGTCCATAATCATTCTCATCTCTGAGCACTTCCAGTGCCCCGCTGACCCTGACAGAGCGCAGAGGAACCCCTCCCATAGTAGTACTTGTGTCTCTTTATGGAGCAGTTGGCAGTTGGCATCTTGCTTGCAATTGTATTCGGGGTAGAAGCCGATTTTGTTGTTTGTTCGTTTTGGTTTTTTTGTTTGGGTTTTGAAGGCCTGTATGATTTAAGATGCCCTTCTTTCTTCGGTTTTGTACCAATAACTTAAAACAGACGCTCAACACAATTTGCACAGCACTGAAGCATGAGCTATAATTTCACCTGAACCTGTAAAAAAAAAATATAAAAGATTTTTATATTTTTTTTCTCCCCCACTACTGGGAAGAAATCCTCCTGGGGTGAAATGACAAATATGTGTAGAATATATTTAATTAAAAAGAAAAAATTACATATGAAATACCTAACTGTAGGACTTAAAGATAGATCGGCGTGTAGTCTCTAGAACAATCCTCCATATAAATAACTTCTGTCTCCGTACACCTGACGTCGCAGGCTGACGCTCCGCTCTGTTCCCTGGTGAGGGTCATGGCCCACCTGGGCAAACCTGGCTTGTCCACGGCCATCTTCGCTGAAACGTGATCAGGTTATTTTACTCACTGTCAATGCTTCGATGGAAAGGCTTGCTTTATGTGCAGTAGACCTACGACAATGTTGTTCATACTGATCAGAATTAAATTTGTATAGAGCAGAGTTTTAAAATGAAATGTAAATAGCACTAAACGTTTCCTCCCTGCAACCTGTACTTAATAGATTCTTTCTGTAAAACGAATAAATTAAAAAAATATATATGCAGCCATGCATCTTGGTGATCTTTTTCCAAGGTGGGTAATTGTTTGTTTGTTTGTTTGTTTGTTTTTTCATGTCAATTGATACAATGTGATTTATTGAAAAGTATCTCCTTTCTCATACACAATGCCACCTGTGCTGTAAGTCAAGTGACTGGACACACCTTTTCTGGAACCTCGTCTCTTCTCACTACCCGTGTTCCTTTTTCCAGATGGTCTCTTCCTCTCATTCGTTCATTCATTCATTCACTCATTCAATCATTCAATCATTTGGGGGCTCATACAGCTCTTTTCAAAATACATCCATCTATTGTATCAAGCACATTTGTACATTTGTTGCCATCATTTTCAAAACATTTTTTTTCCTTTTAAAAATAATTTTATTGGGGGCTTGTACAACTCTTATTACAATCCGTACCTCCATCCATTGTGTCAAGCACATCAAAACATTTTCTTTCTACTTGAGCCCTTGTTAACAGCATCTCATTTTTCCCCTCCCTCCCTCATGAACCCTTGATAATTTATAATTTTTTTTCATGTCTTACACTGACAGATGTCTCCCTTTAGCTACTTTTCTGTTGTCCTCCCCCTGGAGTGTTACATGTAGATCATTGTGACCGGTTCTCCCTTTCTCCCTTCCCTTTCCCTCCTGGTATCACCACTCTCAATACTGGTCCTGAGGGTTATCAGTCCTGGACTCCCTGTGTTTCCAGCTCTTATCTGTACCAGTGGACATGCTCTGATCTAGCCAGACTTGTAAGATAGAGTTGGGGTCATGATAGTGGGGGTGTGGGGAGGAAGCATTAAAGAACTAGAGGAAAGTTGTGTTTCATCGGTGCTATACTGCACCCTGACTGGCTCGTCTCCTCCCCACGACCTTTCTGTAAGGGGATGTCCAGTTGCCTACAAATGGGCTTTGGGTCTCCACTCTGCACTCCCCCCCTTATTCACAATGATAAGAGTTTTTGTTCTGGGTCTTTGATACCCCTATACCTGATCCTATCAGCACCTCGTGATCACACAGGCTGGTGTGCTTCTTCCACGTGTGCTTGTTGCTTCTGAGCTAGATGGCCACTTGTTTACCTTCAGGCATTTAAGACACCGGACGCGCTATATTTTGATAGCTGGGCACCATCAGCTTTCTTCACTACATTTGCTTATGTACCTGCTTTGTCTTCAGTGATCATGTTGGGGAGATGAGCATCATGGAATGCCAGGTTAATAGAACAAAGTGTTCTTGCATTGAGGGAGCACTTGAGTAGAGGCCCAATGTTCATCTGCTACCTTAATACTAAACCTATAAATAATATGTACATAGATATATTTCTCTATCATCATATATATATTTACAAATGTACATGCCTGTATTTAGGCCTCTATATATGCCCTTTGCCTCCTAGTTATTTCCGTTTACTTTCCTCTTGTCCCACTATCATGCTCAGCCTTCATTTGGGTTTCAGTAATCCCTCTTGGTTACATGCCCTTGATCAAGCCCTACCTGGCCTCCTACACCCTCCTTGCCATCGATTTTAGATCACTTGTTCCTTTGTCCCT